AACAGATTCACAGTAATGAGAAATTCCATAATAAAGGATGTGTATATAATCTCTGATGAGAATTACTATTAAGTATTAACTGCTCTGCCACAGGGACTAAAAAATGTGTCCTGAAAGGGTTAACATGGCTCCTTTCCCTAACTACTCCATGGAATGATTTAGGCAGCTGATTGAACAGAGTCCAATAAAATCTCTTTTTGTTTTATTCTTTCCTAACCACTTGGTAGGAGGTGTTCAACATTTTAAAATAGTAACAGTAGTGACAGCTGGAAGTCACTAGACTCAGGTTACAGTGCCAATTTTAGATATCAGTGAGATTCAAGGGACTGGAAAGAACCTAGTTCCTAAAGAAGATTGATTTAGTTATGGGATAACTATCTACGAAAAAGGAGCATTCGATTTTTCAAAAGCTAGATTTGAAAATGAGGTGCCAAATGAGAAATTTAATAGAGGTACCTTTATATTCATAGGAATAATGAATGCATACAGACAAATATACTCTTCTCAACCCCAATTTGTCATGCTATTTGAAGAACTATGCCATCTGGAAATTTTGCTCCCAGAGTAATGATAGTGTTGTTCTATGAAAATTAAGAAACTTTTTTTAACTTTAGAGAAAAACCAAATTCACACCAAACCATTATTTTCACATGGTAAAGGAGAGGAAATATTAACATAGATTTCTTTCTTCCAATTCTTGCTGTCCTGTGGAATTGGAAGCTGACAACATACAGATTCTTACTGTTTTCATTCTCAAACCACTACTAGAATCTTTTACATGCATCACAATCCTTTCAACATCATAATTATTTCTGTAAAATCTATATTATTCATGTGAGTTTTTAGGTTCCATTAAAATGCAGGAATAAATCAGTGCTGGAACTTAGATACCCTTTTCTCTCTCTAGTAAAGCAAATTAGTTTCAATAAGACCCTCTTTCTACAATCACATTGAGAGAAAAAATGGCCTTAAACACAAACAGTCCTGGAAACCATAGTATTGAGGGAGGGGGAGGGGAGAGAGGTAGTAAAAAGCAGAGGGTTTGTTGGGGTTGGGGTGGGGGGAGTTCATATGATTTGTTTGAGGATTTATCTCTCAGCCAGAAAGTAGACACCAAAAATTGAAATATACTCAATCAGTCAATCATCCACCCTATAAATATTTCTTACATACTTACTATGTGCCAGGCACTGTACTAAGCACTGGAGATACAAAAAGAGGCAAAAAGTCCCTGCCCTCAAGGAGCTTACAATCTAATGGAGGAGACAACATGCAAACTAATACATATTAAGCCTGCCTGGACATTTAGAAGATATAAAGCCCTTCCCCTTACATCTCTCCTACATTTCACCCTTTCAGCTCAGGACCTCTGGGCTAGTCTCTTAATGTTCTTTCCCCAACTTGCCCTGCATCTTTGTTATTAGTTGTATTCCATGAAAAATGACCAACTCTTTTTGGGCATTCTAACTTGTTCCTACCCCTAGCAGTACTTTTTGTGGCTGAGCACGCAATTATCCTTTCTTCTCTAAGCTGTCTTCTTGCGTGTAGGGGTGCATAGACAGAGCTTCACTCTGTAGCAATGAAGACCATGTTTTCTATATGTGATCTATAGGTTCAAGAATGCCTATGCAGCTTAATTAACATATAACACCGTTGGTACTAGGATCATATATTCAAAGCTAGAGAAAAAAACAAATTCACTATAATACACAAAATTATAACATAAATTAGAAATTCAAATAACTACTATTTCCTAATAGAAGGAGATTTCAATTTTTTAAAAAATCAAGTAATTGGACTTGATTATAGGAATATAAACAGAACCAAAAATAATGAATTAGCTAAAGGGTGTTCTTTCTCTGAAATTAGTCCTATATGGTTAGTTATATACAGGCTTTATTGTGGACTAACCTCTAAAACCCAAATTGAAGGAAAGGAAGAAAAACTCCTTTTTTCACTATCTGGATTAAATTATTCTCATAATTCCTAAACTTCCTGTTTCTCCTCACACTACTGACCCTGAACACATAACAAATACACAATTCCTGAGATTCCTCTCCCCTCCCTGAGCACCAATACATGAATCATGTGTTTACACTAATCCCTTTTCTTAAAATCCAGTTACCAATGCCCAACATGAAATATAAATATTGTCCATTCCTTTATTAGTTATTGTTGTAATTATCTTCCTGCGTTCAAATCTTGCCTCAGAAACTTACTAGCTATGTGATTCTGGGCAAGTCACTTAACTCTGTTTGCCTCAGTTTCCTCATCTGTAAAATGACTTGGAGAAGAAAATGGCAAACTACTCCATCATCTTTGCCAAGAAAACCCCAAATGGGGTCATGAAGAGCGAGACCCAACTAAAAACTAACTAAGCAACAACAGTTTTCTCACCTGTAAAATAATGGGGTTAGACTAATTGAACTTGGAAGTCCCTGCAAGCTTGACATATATAGCATTCTGATATATCCATTTTAAAGTGGGGTATTACTGATTTTTTTATTCCATTTAATTTATATACAGGACAACATGGTCAAAAAGTATTTAGTGGATAATACTCTGCTCATTATAGAATGCTCTAAAAATTCCAAAGGGTCAACTCTGACCCAAAACACCCATCAGTATTTGTAGAAATATAAATTTGTTCTCATATTGTAAGAAAATCGCTGATTTGTAAAGTGTTTTAATAGCTAAAAAAGCATTTTTAAATCACTTTTGAGTATAAAACTCCAAGAAAAGAAATACTAATCATTTTTTTCCTGTCTATTTTGTTGGCAAGAGGAAAAAATAATAAGTAATTCTCACTCTAAAATTTCCCCTAAGAAAAGTAAATTTGGCAATTACCCTCAATTCTCACCCACCTTAAATAGAAAGTCAATTGGTGCCAAGATTCCATAGAAAATATGATTTGTTTGTATTGTATGAAACTAACAAATAGAAAATAAAGATTTTTTGTTGGCTAGCAGGAGATATCATATATTCACCAAAAGCAAATTATATATTTATTAAAAATTAAGCAAATACAAATTATTTGGTAAGCATAGATAAGACTTTCCTTTAACCTGCTAGATCCTTTAAAAATAGTATACAAAAGTTCTGATGAACATTTGAAAACCATGTGAATTAAGAGCTGAACAGACAGCCAAAAAAGTTTCATTTCCTATAGTCCTAGCCTCCATCTTGGAAGACTCGGAATTATTCCTTTTTCTCCATGATCAAGAGGAACTAGGATTAACACAGGAAGGGCTCTCAGGTATAATGAAGGTTTCCACTCATTAGTCATTTTATTATAGTACTGCTACCAAGACACACCTTGGTTTATGGACTTGTGGTTTGTACTGAAACAAGTTGTTCAACATATTTCTCACTACAACTACAACTACGTGTATGTGTTTGTATGTGACCTCCCGGTTTCACTTTGTCAGTAATTGAATTTCACTCAATACAGAGCCAAGATGTTGGCTTTACTTAACAATTTGTGCATAAAATCTTATAAAATGGGATCTAGGCAAGCTTTTATTAAGCATTTTTTTAAATTAAGAGTCAAGAAACAAGTTTTGCCATGTTCATAACAAGCCCAAACATTGTGGTTTCAAAGTGGCAAACTAAACTATAATTTTTTCAGGGAACTATGTTTATCCTTAATCAAGAGAAGACTGGATTAAAAAAAAAAGAATTCTCAAAACCAAAGTTTCTTGCCCATCAGATAGGTCTTACAAAACAATGTTTTGATTGGAGCAAATTAATCAAAATGCTTAAGGTCCATTAAAACAAACACGACCTTGCAAAGCAGAAAAGTGAATAGTTTGCATTTCACATATTACCAAGTTCCCCAAATTAGAACCTGTCAAAATAGCTTTCTTATTTTAAATTATATTTTTTCAATCAGCAAAAATCCGCCTTCTCTCCCTGTTACTCCAACCCCCTACCCTTCCAGTTGAGAATGAAATATAAAATGTTTTTCAATGAATTAATGTATATATTTTTATCCTTTTGCTAGTATACAATAACGCAGGGGGTGGGGGTGATTAACATAAGACAATGAACAAAACACAAGCAGTGCTCCACAAACAGTTAGGTCCATTAGCGAATCAAATCATATATGTTCGATTTTTAAAACCTGATATTAAATGATTTTTCATTTACTTGACCTTTGTAAATGATTTAGCCCTACCTCTATCATGCTTATCATGACAGCAAGAAAACAGTTACTATTAAAAAACAAGATCATTCAGTTAAAAGTATTTCCTGTCATGTGTCTTAGGAATTACTTAACTATGGATTTTGTGGCAGCAAGACATGAACAATATGCTTTCTTAATTGTACAAAAATAAAGTTAGTCAGATTTCCTTCATAAACTCTAAATGACATTATTTCCACAGCCAAGAGAACAATTTAAAATGTAAATATCCAACAGCACTTCTTCCCACTTTCATTCCTTTTCCATTTTTTTAAATGAGAAATTAACTACTTGTTTAAAAATCACTCATAATTAACAAGATTCAGGAGTTTACATGTTAGTCCTATGCACTTTAGCAATACAAGTAGTAAGGAAGCATCCCTCACCACTACCCAGTTCTCATTTTAGTGGTAATCGTATTTGAATGGGGGGGAGGGTGAACAAAGCAATTATTTAATTCCATTTTATAATTGTTATAAATGTAAAACAATCATATTAACTTTATGATTAAGATGGCTGTCTTCATCTTTTTTTAAAAAAAAACATTACATAAGAATAAAAAGATTAACTAGCCAATTCTTTTACCATACAGATTAAAATTTCTACAACACAGAACACACATCCTCTATCAACTACATTTCACCTCAGCCAACTTTACACTTTTAGAAATTTCCTCATTGAAATCTGATAAAAAGGAAATTTTTTCCTTTTCTACATATTCTCCATAAGCCTTCCCACTTAAATGAATATCAAACAGTATGCTCCTATAGTTTTGCTTTGTTTTCTTTTTTTAAGATATCTAACAGGTGAAACTTACTTGACCGTGACTCGATTCGATAAATCCTGTAGATCCCCAGGATGGAAAAGCTGAGCTTCCTTCAATCCAATCTTTTCACAAGCTTTCAGAAAAACATTTACATTATCCTGTGAAAAGAAGCGGAAAGTGATTGCTTAGCCAAGCACTCCCCAGAGCAGAGGTTGCAAGTTTTTTATGATAAAACTTTCCACACTTCAAAGTTCAGTCACAGGCTCCCAAAAAGCAAAGCAGCAAGATGTGTTCACATAAATTTATACACATATATTTAAAAGACAGAGGCAGCATATCAATCTTTCACAGGATGAACTACAGTAATACTTTATCCCTGGACGTAAGCTGCTGCTGCTGTGATCTTTGGGACTGGCACGTTAAACATTACCTGTTATAGGACAAGTGCCTAGCCACTAGGCAGTAATCTACACTTTGATGTCAGCTATGCTCTGCAAACAAACGCCCTCTTTCTAGCTTTGCACGACAAGCCTCACCTCTCCTCTTTAAAAATAACTGCAGCTACTGACATTCACCCACCCAGAAACTGTTGGCAGGGAAGAAATAAGAGGAGGAACATTCTGTTTCTATGATCACAAATTACAGAATGGCTGTGGAATACCACACCTGGAAGCTGGGTCTGGTTGCTCAGCAAGCCCTTGACAGAGAGAGAAACCATACTACAGGACAGAGGAAACAGTCAGGACAAGGTTCTTTTTCATTGGCTAAGTTATGGAGTTTAGGTGTATGCATTACTCACCCTCTGCACCTGCCACAGGAACTGCTTTGGAAAAATGAAAACCTTTTTTTTTCCCTCACTCCCCACCCCCTTTCGATAAAGATTTCAGTCACAGCTAATTCCAAAAAGAGAATCGCTGATTCACAAAACAACTGATTTTCATTCACATAGAATGAAAAAACACTACCTGCCAAGAGCAAATCAAATGTTCATACAGAGTATAATCCAAATACATTCTGGCTAAGTCTAAATAGCTCACATGTTACTCTCTGAGAGGATAATTCTATCAGCACTTTGTCCCCAGTGCCAACTCCATGAGGGTTTTTTTCTCATGGTCCCAAACATGAAAGGGAGCATGTTCATAGTGGCTTGGCATGCCAAAGAATATCTGAATAAACTCAAGCATGCTGGCAACATCACATCACTAGCTGGCACATGAGCTGACATGGAACCTAATTCTCTTCCCCTCAACAGTTGGCCGTGGTAGAAAAGCATACAACCCTTCTTCTAGGAGAAGGGCAAGAACTGTTTTTCCTGCCTTGAAAGTTTCATGTCCCTGTAAGAAAGAGGTCAAGGTGGTTGGTTATAGAGAGAAAAAGAATTTTTTAGAAAACTGAAGAAGTTGTGATCAACTGTGTTTGGGTTCTTGAAGAAAAAAAGAGAAAAGATCTGGGAAAAATGGCCTTAAGTAAGTATAAAGGGATGAGGAACAGTGATTGCTGATAAACCAAAGGACCAGAAGGTGTGAGGTTTCTGTACAGAGTAGAGCAGTAAAACTCAGTTTTCATTACTCAGCTGGAAGCTGAAAGCCCTGATTCACTTTTTGTAAAAATGAATCAAAGATTAAATAAGCCCAAAAGCCTAAATCCTGGACAACTCCAGGGTGAAGGTTCTCAATCTACCCCTATTCATCAGAAGAAAAATGAAATTATTTCCTTTTTGGAAGTTTGAGAAAATGGAGTCAAAACTCAATTCCTTACTAAAGTCATGCAATGAATCATGCAATTCATGATTGCTATAATTCACTTCTGAAGACTTCAACTAACTAGAGATTCTAATGTTAAGGGTTTGGGGTGGGGGTGGGGGGTTCTTTTTTTGTCTTAAACAGAAGAGAGTACACAGCCTCCAGATCCCAGTTTAAGTGGAATGATATTGTGGTGTTAGTAAAAGCCAAAAATTAAAAGAATATAGTTTCATAACTTCAAGAAAATAAAAAGAAAAGCATCAAAAGAGGCTTCCCAACTGGTGGTTTTAATTTAATTTAAAATTTTTAAAATCAGCTGAATAATGTTAATATGCTAAAAAATAAATTCACAAGCAAAATAATACTTGTTATGGAAATTAGCATCTATTTGCTTGGCAAATATGAATAAATTGATGGAGATAAAACAAACACTAATGTCTTGAAGAATCACTCTAGAAGACTTTAAAACACCACAAGATGAAAATAGGCTGAAATGTAATAATACAGAATGAGACCAAATAGATCAGCAGTGAAAAATGTAATAAAGTCCTAGTTTTAAATATCATAAGGTGGGTTATATGTTGTGTCAGTCTGAAAATAAAAGAAAGCCATTTGAATTGTCATTGTTTAAATTTTTTTTAAAGTAGAACTTTATGGAAGTATACACGGCATATGCAATAAGGGCAGGATGTATAATGATCAGAATCTTGCCTTAAATGGCAGCTTTTGGACATGTGCCCACTAGTAATTTAATTTTTGCTCTTATATTTCAAAGCACCTTGGGAGGCAGTTGCCTCAGGGAAGATATAAAACTATGAAATAAATGTTTTATGTTCATTGACACACCAAGAAACCACGCCCAACTCAACTGATGAAATGGGATGTATTTACTATTAACTTTTAGTGTTTTTCACATAAACAAATATTTCACCTAAAAATAGCAAACAAAATAAATAGCTAATTTGGTCAAATCATAATTAAATCATCTGGGAGTCAGACTCTAACTGTGCCTCTGTCACCAAATAATGGTGTAACCTTAAGCTAGATGCTTACTTTGGGCCTCAGTTTTCTTCAACTATAAAATAAGAACTTTGACTAAGTCAAAGGTTCTCTGTTATTAGACCAGGACTTACCAGGAAATTTCCATGCTTTACCTGATAGTTCTTCAAACTGGTCACCATCACTTTGACTTCTGCTCAATTTTCCAAGATTCTCAAGAAGGAAGAGTGCCTTCTTCCCCATCATGTTGAATAACCTCACTGTGAGAACTTCCTCTGATGATGTCAAGGCATTCAGGAAAGGAAAAGTAGCTCCTCCTACTATAGATTTTTTTTTAAATGTGGGAGCCTGAGACTAGATGACCCCTAAGATTCTTAGAGTTGTCTATGGAACACAGAAATTATAAGCCCAAAATGGCAGATTGGAATTGATTCCTAACCACAAACTCCAGAGAGTCTATTTTACAATAAAATACCAGTCAGTTTTAGTCTAATCTTTCACTTATCCCTCCAAGGTTACCCTTGGATTCTCAAAGTCTCTAAGAATGGAGGGCAAACTATGACTGGTCCAACATGAAAATGGAAAGCTGTTAGTAGCTAACTGTGGCAGCTAGACAACATGGTGGATAGAGTGTTGGGCCTACAGTCAAGAAGACCCAATTTCCTTTTTTTTATCTGTATAAATTTTTTATTTTTAGTTTTCAACATTTACTTCCACAAGATTTTGAGTTCCAAATTTTCTCCCCTTCTCATCCCTCCCCCCACCCCAAGATGGCATGCATTCTGAATACCACTTCCCCTAGTCTGCCCTCTCTTCTATCTCTCCCCCCCTTCTCTTATCCCCTTCCCCTTCTATTTTCCTGTAGGTCAAGATAAACTTATGTACCCCATTTCCTGTATTTCTTATTTCCCAGTTGCATGTGAAAACATTTTTTTAAACATGTGTTTTTAAAACTTTGGGTTCCAAATTTTCTCCCTTCCTCCCTCCCCACCCACCCTCATTGAAAAGGCAAGCAACTCAATATAGGTTATACATGTGCAATTATGCAAAACACTTCTATAGTAGACATGCTGTGAAAAACTAACTCTATTTCCCTTAATCCTATCCTGTCTCCCCATTTATTCTATTCTTTCTTTTGACTCTGTCCCTCCTCAGAAGTATTTGCTTCTGATTACCCCCTTTCCCAATCTGCCCTCCTCTCTATCATCCCCCTGCTCTCTTGTCCCCTTCTCCCCCTATTTTCCTGTAGGGTAAGAGAGATTTCCATACCCAATTGAATGTGTATGTTATTCCCTCCTTAAGCCAAATCTGATGAGAATAAGATTCACTCATTCCCTCTCACCTTCTGCTGTTTCCCCTGCACTTTAAAAGCCTTTTCCTTTCTGTTTTTTTGTGAGATAATTTACCCTGTTCTACTTCTCCCTTTCTTCTTCTCCTAGTACAATCATCTCTCAGCCCTTAATTTTATTCTCCAGATATGACCCCTTAAACTTCAACTCACCTTGTGCCCTCTATCCATCTATCTATCTATCTACCTATCCATCTATCTATCTATCTATACACATACATATAATTTCCCCCCTCCAACTACCCTAATACTGACAAAGGTCTCATGAGTTATAAATATCATCTTTCCATGCAGGAATGTAAACAGTTCAACCTTAATAAGTCTCTTATGATTTCTCTTTCCTGTTTGCCTCTTCATGTTCCACTTGAGTCTTGTATTTGAAAGTCAAATTTTCTATTCAGCTCTGGTCTTTTCATCAAGAATGCTTGAAAGTCCTCTACTTCTCTATATTACCATTTTTTCCCCTGAAGGATTATACTCAGTTTTGCTGGGTAGGTGGTTCTTGGTTGTAATCTTATCTCCTTTGCCCTCTGGAATATTATATTCCATGCCCTGAGGTCCTTTAATGTAGAAGCTGCTAAATCTCATGTTATCTTGATTGCGTTTCCACAATATTTGAATTGTTTCTTTCTGGCAGCTTGTAATTTTTTCTCCTTGACCTGGGAACTCTGGGATTTGGCTACAATATTCCTGGGAGTTTTCCTTTGGTGATCTCTTTCAGGAGGAGGAGATCAGTGGATTCTTTCAATTTCTATCTTGCCCTCTGGTTCTAAAATATCAGGGCAGTCTTCCTTGACAATTTCTTGAAAGACGATGTCTAGGCTCTTTTTTTGATCGTGGCTTTCAGATAGTCCAATAATTTTTAAATTCTCTCTCCTGGATCTATTTTCCAGGTCAGCTGTTTTTCCAACGAGATATTTCACATTGTTTTCTAATTTTTCATTCTTTTGGATTTGTTTCACAGTGTCTTGATTTCTCATAAAAGAAGACCCAATTTCAAATCTGGCCTAAGACTGTGTATGACCCTGGGAAAGTCACTTAACCTCTGTTTGCCTCAGTTTCCTCAAAT